GTACATTAACGAAGAGAATTGATATGTCAGAATAGAAAAAACTACACTCATTTCTATATAAGATGAAAGCAGATAGCTACATCAGATGACAGGCAAAAGCAATTAGTAAGGAAAACTTCACATTAATGAAGCAGCAGAACTTGTTAGGTCATCTTAATTATGCATGCTAAGTTTTGACTTGAGGCACAGAAAACTGGAAGATTAATAGTTGTAGAGTAAAAGAATTCTGAACTCAACACTTTATTCATGCTCTACTTTGCTTGGTCTGAAACATGGTTGTCATATATAAATGGAGTGCATTTATGCTCAGGGTTTGTTTTTTGGGTTTTGGTTTGTTTTTTGGTTTTTGGTTTGTGTTCTTTTTTTCTGTGTGCTACTTGTACAGACTCAAAAATAAGAGGTCAATTATACCAAACTAAAGTATCTTGAAAATAGTATGTTATTCTTCTGTTTTCCAGGATATCTTTCCATTAATACAGTATAGATGACAATACTGTTAGAATTTAACAAAAATATTCAGTTGTCATAATTAAGTAGTTTTTCCATCTTGCAGGAAAATCCAAAATGCAATTTTTGTTCCAGGCTGAATCAGGATGAACCCTTGCAAATCTAAACTTTCTGCAAAATAGAAGCTAAAGTTGCATAAATTGCATGTTTTTATTTACTTCTGGTTGTTCGGTTTTGGTTTTTTTTTTAACTTACATTATAAATTCATTTTTCAAGAGGAAATCTTATTCTGGTTGAAAAATAATGTGGGTTTTTTTAATGTCAGGTCATTTTGCTCAAGTGCTTGCTAAGTAGCAACCACTTTCAAATTTCAGAATTCAGTATAAAGTTAGTGAAAAATAATAGCAATGAATATGTCATGTATCAGAGAATTGTTTAAAGATCCTCAATCTAGTTAGAAGTTGTTTAGTAACAAACATCATTACACACAAGGCTCCATTTCAAACTAGTTTCAGTCTGTATTGCAATCTGCAATGTTGAAATACTTTCAAGGCAGATTGCCTCAACAGAACCACAGATTTGCATACCTGAATCTATCATACATTTTGTATACAAAAACACCCATTCATTTTGGCGACATACAACTCCAAATATTTATCTCAGATCCAACCTCAAAAATTTTAGTGATGACATTCAACCTCTTTTGATTTGAATGGTGTTCATATATTATAATTAACTAGTCTTTGGGACAGAAATGTGCATGGAAAAAATATTCTGCAGATGTCTTCATTTTACTTTTACACACCAGCTTCCATAACCCTGTAAAAGATGTCTACGCAGCTAAACATTCTAGCAGAATGATTAAGCCATAAATAAACCCCTGGTAATCCAGTCTGTCAGCTGACCAAACCAATACCTGGTGCTTTTTATCTTAATGTTCAGTATATTTAAGCTTCTTATAGATGGAGCAAGTTCAAAAGCTAACAACCCACCCTCCCCACAGTCCACCTTCATAACTGTGCATTTTGAACTGCTAACAAGTGAAATAAGTGGTGAAAAATACAGAAAAGTATAAATGAACAGACATTTACCAGCTTGATTGTGACAGATTAGAGCCACTTTGGATTGTACTTGGAAATATGTAAGAAGCCAAAGAAAAAAAAAGACACTTTTATGTATTGCTGAATTGTGTCAGGAAGTGCAGGATCAAGTGAGAATTCATTACAAAGTTTATTCTAGTCTGAAAAAGCCCTAGCTTTGGATTTAACATGGGCAAAGATTTTATTCATAATTTCATTGGGACTTTTTCACCCAACAGTAACAAGATGAAACAAGGAGACAATGAGAAAAAGATAGAGAAATGTTAGATACAGTTAATTCTACTAGTAAGACAGATAAAGTATTGCAATAGATTGGTCTTCAACTTTTCTCTTCTTCTGGTATTTTCTAAAGGCATGGCTTATTACCTGTGACAAAATTAACACATTCCTGTACTTTTATTCTAAGAAACTACGGCCATGGCGTGTGCCAGTTCCATGTGATCTTTACTTTTAAAAGCACTATATATTCCTTTCTATCTGTTTAGTAAGAGGATGGTGATACAAAAATAATGATCAAAGTAAATACAGGACTGCTGAGAATACTCAGAAAAAAGACCTTTACAGATTTAAGAAATAAATATAATCTTTTAAGTAACTTAGTAAGCTATACCATGTGTGCACATGCATTTCTGCATAAGTGTATGACAGAGAGAAAAATATACAAATATATTTGAATAGCAACACATTTAGATTGTTTTTGATATGTTATGAGGATAAGCATCGCTTTGATTATTCTCGGACCAATAAGGAAATGTGAAAGAACCATCAAAAGTATAAATGAAATCTATTAGTATGTGAATCATGGTAGAAAAGCCTCTTCAATAGAAGCAGACCACTGAGACTTCCTCAGGACTTCTACGTATCATATTAAAACTAAATTCACAGTTTTATTTGAAAGTCACCAATTAATTTAGACTTTGGTAGAAATCATATCTATTTGATTCTTATGTTTATATGAGCAAACCTTTTATCACAAGAAGTCTGTGTAAAGAAAACATGTAGAGTTTGACACAACATGGGAAATGATTTCCAACATTTCGACAGATTTTCTGGAGTCACAGAATGAACAAAGCCAATTGTGCTGTAGTTACTCTCCTAAATCATAGAATGGATTTAGTTTCTTTGTTATTGTGCTGGTCTTGGCTGGGGTAGAGTTAATTTTCTTCACAGTAGCTAGCATGGGGCTATGTTTTCAATTTGTGCTGGAAACACTGTTGATAATACAGAGATGTTGTTTTAGTTATGGCTGAGCAGTGCTTACACAGAGTCAAGGCCTTTTCTGCTCCTCACACTGCCCCGCCAGCAAGTAGGCTGGGGGTACACAAAAAGTTTATTGATAAGTCAATAAAATGACTTATTTTATTCTACTTATTTTATTCTGAGCACAGGATAAACTTTGTGCAATGATGTCATGACATAACTTTCTTTTACACCTTCCAAAGACACTTCTTGTAAAACTGACATCCTGTGAATGTTTTTTTCTGTATCTAAGGGCCAAATTATAAAAGCTCTGTAAGAACCTAACACTTGTCAAGATTATTAGGCTTTTAAATATCCTTTAAATTCTATCTGCATATATCAGGTATCTCAAACCCAGGTAATCCAAGTGCATTTAGATGCTTAATCAACATAAAGAATCCCCATAAAATATTCATCACAGACTGCATGAATACTTGGTTCCACTTAGATTTACAGACAGGGCTCTTAAGGGTCCAGAAGAGAAATCAGTGTATTTTTCATGCACTTTATCTTTTTCTATCCTGAGGTGAAGTAATAGTGTAAAGTATGGTCCTACACAGTCATATACTAGCAATAATAGGTTTCTGCTTCACACCAGAAGCTTTTCTGAGAACAGCACTTTCTTTACAGCACCACAAAAGATGAATAACGTGACTGGCCCACAGAACACTATTCCAATATTTATTATTCTATGATTTTATTGACCATGGCCCTGTGTTCTGATAAAGTAACTATTTCTACTGATCTTGGTAACTATCTGAAGGTTTGAGATCAATTATATCTTTGATCAATGCATAAAATATACAACTACAATGAGTGATATGAACTGCCACAAATTTTAAATTGGAAAAGGTAAAAATCAAAGAATGAAAATATTATTGCCAACAAGGAAGCATGGAACAATGACTTACAATAATAAGCAGCAGCTATATGTAAACCAGATGCATACTTCAAACATTTCTAAAATTTTGGGGGGGTTGTTTGCTTATTTGGAATTACTTAGAGAAATGAACAATGTAACTTTACAGATCTCATCATACAGTACTTTAAAAGTGCAGGCACACAGAACCAGTAAATAAATCAAATTTCAAATGTCTCCAATTATCATGTTCAAGACACTATGTACAACAAGTAAATAGAAGAAAAAAAGTATTTTTCTCTAATAAAGGTAATTTTCCGAAAACAAGGCAAAAAGGAAATCAAGTTTTCAAAATATTGATTGTCATTTAGTATCTAATGTCTATAAAATCTCTAAATCTTATCAGTAGAAATAAATTGTTCAAAAGATTAGCTATGTTATGTGGCTCAATCAACACAATCTAGATAACTGATACATAACTAAGAAACAAAATTTGCTATTTTTCAAATGGAACATGAAAAGGCTTTTAAAATAAAATAAAATAAAATAAAATAAAATAAATCTAAAGAGCAGTGGAACTCTGTCAGCAAAGATGTTACAAATTGCTCAGGGTCAAAGTGGAAAAACAGATCTTTCAAGAAGTTTGAAAACTAAAGTCCTAATGTAGGATATGTTTTAAAATAAATCCCCTCCCGACATTATAATTCTAGATTTAATTCCAACTAATGAACAGAAACTCACTGAAAACCTGGTAATGCAAGTTTATTTGTATGAATGTAATTGTGATTTTCCTAAACTGAAGTGAGGCCAGAGAATAATGGCAATGGAAGGAAAAAAACCCAAACAACCAGACTAATTATTTAGGTGAAGGCACAGAAAGTGGAAAAGATACCAAGAAGGTGTTATTTATAGTATTCATATAATATAAAAAAAAAATATGTAGAAATGAAATAGTACACATTATTAATGAATGAATCTTAATTGAATAAGACACAAAACAGAGAAAGAGACAATTGTGTTTTAGCTTGATTTTTGTCGGGATTTGACATAATCTCATACAATATTTTCACCAACAAAGTAGGGAAATATGGACTAGATGAATTAGACATTTACAACGTGGCATTATCATTTGGAAAAAAATACAGTATGTGTAATTTTGAAAGAAAGTGAATATGGCCATGTATTCAGTCTACAGAATATTAACAGAAACACCACAGTTACTCCCTGAATCATGTTTACAGTAATATTTGGTCTCATAAATCTAAACAATTTTAGTATTAGAAATAAAAAGTTAAAGGTTTTTTTTAGCTTCACAAACATATACAAAAAAAGGAACTAAACACTGATATTCATACCGTCATAAATCCATCCAGCAAACCTGAATCAGGCTTAGGAGGTGCTTGCAATCGCTCCATAGACCACTTTTCAATGATAGATGACACCTGGGTATTTTCCGTGTTTAGAATTCTGAATCCAGTCATATTAACACCACTATACCGATAGGGTTCCACATCCAAGGCAAACAGGTCCTGAAAAAAATTACCATGGTATAAATTCTCTAATACACTGCAATTCCTATTGCAATTGTTAGACCATCTCCCCAGATGAGAGTATTGAAATCTGCAGGAGTAACAGTACTATACATGCTAGGAAGTATGCTCTGTTTATCTGGGGGCCTGTGTCTGTAAGCATGCAACTCAGCTGACCTTATAGTGGGAGTAATCTGATTCACAGAAGAACAGCTTCAACTGCCTTTTTTTTTTTTTAAAAAAAAAAAAAAAGCCTTTTAGGAAATGCTAAGTCCAATTGCAGAACTGTATCCCCTACTAGTTAGGCTTAAATACTAGAGTAGGCTTAAATACTAGAGTAGGCTATCATTATTAATTGCTAAAAATATTATTATTCATCACTACTTCTTTGGCCTACCAGAACAGACTTCAAATCATAAAACAAACAGAACAAGAGTTTCCTTGCTCCTGCACTCACTATGAAACTTGAACATGTTGATCTCTAGACAATAAATTGGGGGGGAAGAGGGGAAATGTACGACTTTAACCAAAAGCATTTTTCACAGCTATCAATCATACCTCCAAACATGGACATATCTTTGATTAGAAATATATCTTTGCAAGAATAACCTTTGCCAATTAATGTATTTTTAATACATATGTATGTGTATGTGTGTGTGTATGTATTTAGCCCCCCAACACGCACAGAGGCAAATACAAATTAATAAAAAGAAGAAAATCAAGTTTTATATCAAGCAAGTAAACTCAAGATTATGCCAATCCTTTGACAGAGTCCTTAGAAACAATGTAGAACCAGTGCTTGACTTCAGGAAACTCAGGTCTAAGATTAAGATTTGAACATGGGAAAAAAATAAAATAAAATTAAGTTGATGAAGAAAACAGTCATGACTCACTAGGCCTAGGCACATACATTATAAATGAACTTTTGTTTGGTTTATTTTCTGGTTTTTTGAATAATTTTTTTAAGTGACATAATCAAGGTTATACACAAGACATTACTGTCCTATGACATAATTTTATTTTCATTGAACATAGAAATTCTCCACATAATTCATACTTAGTCATTCATCTCATTTTTAATTTATTTCTTGCTGGCGGTTTCGTATATTATAAATCCATGAAATGGTAGTGTTAGGTGTAACAGTTGCCTGAATCCATTTTGTTTAGTGGCTAGAGCTGAAGAAGATTAAATACTGTACTACGGAAAACCAGAATATAATTCATTATTCATTGTTAACATCACTAAGCCCACAAAAATATCAACCAGTTATCAATCACTACCCATTTTTAATTATAGCTACTAATTATTACCATTTTCCATATATAATACCTAAGATATGCAGATGTCAAAATGCTTTTAAGTTATTCATTTACAAATAACCTAACTCATGTCCTCTTTCTAAAGAAATAAAACATTTTATTACAAAAGAAATGTTGAACGTAACTAGAACTGTGACATCTTCCCCTTTAAAAATTCTCTCTGTTTTTACTGTGAAAGAAGTCAGAACCTCACATGTAATTATTTAATCCAAACACATTCATGTTTACACTGAAATATGATAAATATACACAACAATATTGTGCATATATTATAAATGCACACAGATCGGAGTATTAATGAGCTACTGCATTAGACCCGAATCAATCAAGAGGAGAATACACAGAAGACTACTGTAAACATTGTGACTGGAAAATTTATTTGACAGGACTTTCACCATGTCAGGTAAGAAGCAATTAATATATCAAAACAACTAAATTCTGATGCAAGTTCCAAAGCTACATTGCAAAAATCAAAATCTATCAATCGTTTGTGCACACTAAATTATTCTTTGATGGCTCCAAGTCAATATAATACTTGTTCTCCTAAAAAAACCCTAATGTTCTAATAAGGAAATAAGAATGACAGAAAATCCTGATTTTTAAACATAGCTTTAAGAATAAAAATTAAATGCCAACGGACAGAAAACATTTTCAACATTAGCAAAATGAAAATTTAAAAAACAAAAAATCTCTTGAAACATTGAGAAACCATTTTGGTAGACTAGTGAGGGAAATTGTATTGCATGCAATCCTAAATCCATAAGTGATAGAACAACTTACCCTTCTAAAATAAGACAGGTACTTGTGCAGGGTATTTTGCCTTTCTAATGAACTTCACAAATTATTTTGCTTTCTATTCAACAGGCTATTTCCATATAACACTTTATATGAACTTCTGTTTTGTGATTCTGAGGTGAACTTTCCATCCTACTACAAAGGATTCATTTCTGTAAGGCCTTAAACATGTATGTGACTTTAAACATAGGTCATTTCAAGCATGGTTTTACTAAGGCACATCTGTCTCATGCTTGAAATTACTTGTATTTTAAGAACTTTAATGAACTGCAATCTAAATAGGCAAATTTGAACACAATGGAAAACAGAGAAATGTGCACAACTGTAGTTTCTAGAGTACTATTTTACCAACTTTTCAACTGTTTCTTAGTTAGGCTGTGGTAAGCAGCAAAAAAGTTCTTCACATACAAGTTTGTTATGTTTTGTAAGAGCATACACATTTCAAATGTTCATTTATTGCAAATGTTAAATCTGATGGTTCCAAGAATAATAAAATTCCTTCTTAGTTACTTTTACAATAGACACCAAAGAATATTGCATAATTCATGGGCCTAAAAAGCCCATGTGGACTATTAAATAAAATGCTGCTAATATTCACACCAAATTATTCAGGAATCATATGACAGCAAAGAATTACCTTGTAAAATGTTGGATTAAAAATATGGAATATATGAGTAAGTTTAAAATGTCATAATCTTCACATACAAATAGCTAAAAGAGAAAAAGGACAAAATTCATAATATAAATAATCAATTTTGAATTATATACTTAACGCTGCTTGAAAGTTAAAAACTGCACTGCTACAGAGTCAGTTGCTTTTTTCGGTCTATCAGTTTTCAGGGCACACTGTTGAACAAAAATTAAACCATCCTGATGAGTTTTCACTGAAAGTAAGAAAACTCAACAGAGAAAACATCTTATACTCACACTTCATTCCAGAGAGACCTTTTTCACTTTGTCAGGTAATATAATTAAGGAAAGTAACATCTTTGTTAGATGTCATCAGTATGTTTTTATAAGCCACTTACCAGTGTGGTAAAGATATAGTGATAATATTCTGTCATCATTCCCATAGCTAAAGCCTTAAAAAAAATAAACAAAAGATTAATGTTTCTGAGGTGACATAATACATTTTTATCACACTTACATGGCAAATGAAAAGCTGCAAAAGAACACTACTGGGATCAGACTGTAGGGTTGGAATTATAGTAAAATTAGGTCAAGCAAGTCATTTCCTAGCAGTTAGAGCAGATTACTGACTATTAAAGGAATTTATGAACCAGATCTTCTGATAGAAAGAATATTATTAGACTGTTTAGTGCAGTAAATGTGAAAGAGGCTTATAGTCTTACATACTAATGGATGCATTAAGTTGACACACAAAATTTGAGTCAACAATATTTTCATTCATTATTGAACCCTCCCCTTAAAAAGAATAACCTAATAGGAAAGATTTTTTTCTATTTTGATGAACAATATTATGCATTTAAAAGAAGGACCCGAGCTTATATTATACGTGTGTACATTTTTCCAACCATGGAGAAAAATACTCGAGTCAAGTTTTGAACAGCAATATACATACTACTTCAGTAAAAATGAAGAACAAATATTCATAGTATTACTCTATAAACTCAGGTATCTATCAAGTACCTTCATCTGCCTTGCTAACTATGTAATACCAAATAGTTTTTGATCAACTGTGCATTTTAAAATGTTCATACTTTTCTCTTAACAGTGTAAGAACAAATATTTGTAGATATAATTTTAAAGCAATAAACTATGGGTGTCTCATCACTCTTATTCATTAAGGGCATTTTCACCTGAAAAGCATATATCTTTATGCTCTGCACAATAGTTGCCTTATACTAGTATGATTTATTCAATCATTTTAGTATCTACAGTGATTTTTACCTAATTTTAGCACTGTAAAAAAGGCACACAAGTAAGCAATATTTTCTTCCTTTCCAGGAATTACCAACAGAATTCTTTGCCAAGTCACTACCATTTACACCTCCTTAAACATGCTGACGGCAACAACTATACAATTGTCATAATACCAGAATTTGTATACAAAATAATTATCAGAGTTCTGAAGGCTGTGGAAGCCTTTTTACTTGTGACATTGTCTGAAAAGTGATGAAATGACTAGTCTATATGTTCTTTTCCAAAGAAAAGTTAAAAGCTAAAATGAGTTCAAAATACCAGCTGCAGATCAGATTTTATAATATTTTAGACAAGACTTTGACAAAAACTGCAACAACACTTTTCCAAAGCATGCCTATACCTGTGTCTTTAGAATTCCACAATAATATTTATAGTGTGCCAATAGCAATTTAAATTCTCTTAAACACAGGAAAAGTATTATCTCATGAGAAATATTACAACTTCATTAGAAACTGTACTACTACAAACATTGTTAGCTTTTTCAAGAAATTTTTTTGTTGTTGTTTTTAAATAAAGCCAAGGTATCTTCCTCTATATCTGTAACACATCTGCAGTCACCTATATAGTAACTGCTTATAACTGGGTCTTTCATACTCCACAGAATCTCGACACAAGAACATCCTACACATGTTCCGGATTCTGCTATGTGCTGGTGTTATCTCTTTTCCAGGTCTTCTTTATCTCACTTTCCTCATTTCTCAAAAGAGCTCACTCCTTTTTCCTCTTCAAAACATTGTCATTTCTCTGCTCTCATTATTCCAGTACTTTCCTAACCTTTTAAATCACGTCTGCTTTCCCTGGTTGCATGGTGATGTAGTTACCACTGAGTTTTGCCTTAATCTAATTATGCTTGTCTGAATGATGGGATTTTTTTTTTTTTCCTTTTCATGATGTATTTTTGGCCAGAAAACAGTAGTTGCCATTTCACTGGTCTCTCAAGGTACTTTTTTACCTTTATTTCCAACTTACTTCATTGTTAATCTTTCCAGTCATCCTCCCAAGAAGAAAACCCTTGTCATGTCTCCCCAAGTTCATTCCTCCATTACCAGAAAAAAATGGTTAATTAATAGTTCACAAATGAATACAGAAAGATCTCATTTTTTAATTATTTTTCAGTGAACACCTCTAAACACTGTATTTGGAATGATACCACTAAATAATAAATACAGTCTTAACATCCTTATTGTCAATTTTGACAGCAAGATGTCACATTCAGCTGCAGAACTACCAATTTTAGGCATATTTAAGGCATTGCAATATTGGAGCTGAACGGAAAGCTAAAAGCCTACAAAAATTGTATAAAGATCTAAATACTCATGAAAGAACTGTTTGTGTACCTTCCTTCTATAATCTTTAGGGTGAACAGAGTAGTATAAAACAGTTTATAATTTTATTTAAAGAGGTTGAACGCTCACTCTTGGATCCTGGGACATGATTAAAGATATAATGCTTTTAATTTTGTTCCCATTTCTCTTTAGTCATATGTTTTACACAACGTTGCATACTGTGAAAGAAGTTTCCTATCACCTAAAAACTACTAGATACAGTATAAATAATGTACCTTGATGGAGTTACTGTTAGTACTGCAGCTTTGTATTGCCATCAACACATTTTCCATCTGTATTTTTAAGTTATTAAAATAATTAAATGCACATTTAATTATTTGGGCTAAACAATTAGACTAACTAAACTGGCTTATGCTTAACAAAGGGAAAAAAACACCAGCAGAGGTTTAAAATTACCAGGAATTAATAAAAGCCTTTTAATCAATGAACAATAAAGCAAATAAATGATAGTATACATGTAAGTTTAGTAGCAATTGTAATTGTACCCACAACAGTACCCCTAAGTACCTTTAATGAGAGACATATTTTCAAATCTTAAATACATCTTGTTTTCAATTTAAACCATACAGTCTGCTAGCAAACATAATATAAACATGAATTAAAGTCACTAAAAGCTGTGCATTAGAAATGTAGAATATTGTTTTGTTTTAGGTATTCTTCCTACCCTTATTATTGCAAGTCATAGTTCAATTAAAAAACTATGGGGAAAATGGCCTCTGAGCATAAGGAATTCCAAGTCTTTGGAGCTAGCTCATCAAACTAAAGGAGACACACAAAGGCATGTCTTTTATGCATACTTCAGGGTTACAGTACGCTTTTTTATGAGCCACATCTTTTGTATACCACTATATTGCCACCTTCTCTTGGAAGACATCACTGGAATCTGCTTTTGCAATACAAACCCAGTTAAGTATCTGGGATTCTGATGTATCTCACCTACTCATCTTACTTGTACACAACAAAGCAAACACTTTCAAAGCACCTACCCAAATGTATTCAGGTGTTTTGCAGTCCTATTAGTAGTGCAAGGAGAATATGGGTCTAAAAGATACCTATTAGTTCTGTCCTCTCAGTGGAACACATTAATGTGGTCTGTTGGTAACAAACTATTCAAATATCATTATCTGATTAAGAGTACACAATATAGAGGTTTCATTTAAAAAAAAAAAAAAAAAACTTTGTTATACAAAATAACACTAAGCAAGCATTTAAAACCCTGGTTAAAGCATCAATTCTCCAAAGTACCAATTCTTCATAGCTGAAAGACTGATAAACCTTTTTCCCTGTATATGAACCGATTAATCTGCTTCTTTAAAAAAACATAATGAAAGCAGCTACCATTAGAGTCACCAATAAAATTATCTCTGAAATCCTTGGCTGATTTTCAGTTAGGCCTCAGTAAAACCGACATACAATTCCCCTGCTTGTTAAATGCCATTAAGTCTGGATATTACTTGTATTTATTAGGGATGAAAAAGATTAGGCCATCTAAAGCAAAATGAGGATTACCTGTTTCAAGATGCCTGCTGCCATTTCATGGCTGCAGTCAAAGATTACATGGAATTCTTTGCCTCTTTTCATCTCCTTTAGCAATGGCTTTGCATCTTTTGTGTCAGCTGGTAACTGACGGATTTTTAGCCTCAGGTTGTATCGTGATGGAGCCTTGATGAGCTCTTGTAATCGAATAAGGCCTTAAAGAAAACAGAGGAGTCAAAAGAAAAGAAAATTATCAAAACAAGAACCTGAGCTGCTAGCAGGACAACTCACTATAAACATTCAAAGCTTCCTGACTTTTTCTCCCTTCTCAGTCTGTTGCCACTGATACACAGAAATTTTATTAAAAAGAAAAAAAAAGTATCGGCACTCATAATACTTTCTTATAACAAGTCTTTCTTCTTTCTTAATATTAACAGACAGTAAGCAGCCTCAGTTAGGATTACTTTAAGACAGACAAATCTTCCTTTATCATTATCATGCAACTATGACATTCCTCTTCAAAGAAAGTATATAATTTTTCTGCCATGCTCACCTCCTTCTTGTATTGGAGCATGCTCAACTTAGTGGCAGTAACAAGGGCTACTGTTCATCATTATGTTTGCAGTACACATATATAGCACACCCAATTGCCAAAAAATGGAAGCTCTGCTTAGGATTTTAGCTACAGCAGGATCCAGGTGTAAATGAAGTGAAGTGCTTCTAAAATCTGAAATAGCTTACATCACTACATCAAAGATATTAATGGAGATTACTAATTATTACTTAGTTATCATCATGGGCAGCACTTTTAGTATTAATAAGCACTGGTATTTTATTTCATTTTATCTCTAAACATTCTTCTTGGTTACAACTGTATGTCAAAGCTGTCTTGATTTCAGGAAATGGTGTTGTCGTTCTGTAACATGGAACCACACTATAGCATCAGTAAGAAATTGTGATAACCTCTGACAGGGGATTTAATACAGCCTTTTTCCTACATTGTTCTTTTAGTAACATAATGCTAAGAGATTTTAGTAACATAGTATTGCTATGATTTTTTGCTATGAAGCTTTTAGATTGTGAAAAACTTAGCTCGCATTATTTCCGGCAGAACCAGAGTAGCAGAGGATAGAACTGAAAGATAAAATCAGTCTCCTCTATTTCATCATTCCCCTTTTTTGACCCTGCAAAGGATCCACATTATTTTCTCAACAGTTTGTGCTGAAATTAGCTGGAGCAGGAAATGTAGCTTACAATATAAAACCATCCTAAATTAAGACTGCAGGTGTGGAGATCTGGCAGAGGATCCCAGTAGACCTCTTAGGCCCAAACGCAGAGTGGGGAAGGACAACCTTGCTATTTAGTCTATTTAGGAGTTTTTTCTTCACTCACAAGTCTATGTCACAGATACAATACCTCATATTGCATCACAATTTCTCAGTAATACCCCTACCCCATAGAAACATTCTCAACAATGTGTATATTGTTCAAACTGAGACAATTGTTACCTATAGCTAGATAATCTCTCAAATTTCCATCTTGTAAAAACATTTCTATAGGATCTTCATTAACAGCTAAAGTACTGTGAAGAACTAAATCCAGTAATTCAGTGGGGGCTGACATTTTCCATACTAAATTATAATGTGAAAAATGTTAATGGTCTTTTGTATATATAACATATATATATATATATATATGTATAACATAATAGCATACCAAAATTTAAGGTCACAGTAAAATGTTTTAACTCAAGAGGGGATAAAAAAATAATTCCACATGTTCCAGGTTATTTGTCATTGCTTGCTAAAAGATGACAATTGGAAACTTTTGTCCAGCACAAATAACTTGTAAATAATTTTTACTCCTATTACATTATATTTAGCAAGTCTAATTTTAGACTTGTCCTGCTTTCTATGCTTCATTTTGTTTTGTTTGTTCTGCTTTGAAAAGGAAATAAAAGCCACCATTAAAGAATCACAGAAACATCACCATATTTACTGGCAATCTTTAGCAGAGATGCTGATGGTAGAACAGACATGGAAATTGAAGTACTTTCTCACGACTAGACCTGGTCCCTGCTTGCTAAGACACAGAGAAGCGATAGCTAGGGTATACATGACGTCTGAGTAAATGGCAGATAAAAGTCTACACAGCTGTGAAAACAGTACTTTTCGAAACTAAGTCAAATAAAAAAAATTGCCATATTTACCTCAAATGCTATAATGATATTTACATAGAATGAATTAATGCATTTAATGGAAGTTTAAATTGATTTAATATGTGATTTCTAAATAATTTTGAATAAATATACTTAAAAGCTATATAGAAAAGGTGTCTTTTCTGACTTAAAAGTTTATACATCTACTGCATAGTAGTACCATTTTCAGATGATCTGGGACAACTACATGAAAGTAAAGCTTTGACATGAACAACAAAGCATACCCCATAGCCATTAACTACCTTATCAAAAATAATTGACAGTAAACAACAATATGTCAACAAAAACACTTAGGATTGTTCCCAAGTCTTTCCCATCTCCTTCAGACTAAGAAAAATAAAGCAACTAGAATGTACGCCCTTGTGGTCAAAAAATTTAGATAATTTCAGATTGAAGGAAGGACCACATTTCAAAGCAAAGTCTTTCTCAAAGGCAAAGTCCTGCCAGTTGCTCACATGCTCTGGTATCCATGCACTTCCACATAAGAACTACAAATCACAAGAGGGGCAATAGGGGACAGGTAGCATGACAGACTGCCAGAAAAAAAGAAATCCTGGCTTTTGATGCTCACTAGTCAAAGATGACTGGGAAGACAGACAGAAAGACAGCCTAAATAGCCATGTTAGCTTGAATCAGATAGTGCTGCAAAACATGTTGCCATATAAGAGAACAGCATGTGAAGCTCATATATAAGCTGTCAGTATGTGAACTAGAGACATGCATCTATCTGAACTACTTATATCACACTTAAGAGCAAGAAGATGGGAAAAAAATGGCAGATTTGGGGTGGGGGGTGAGAATCTGAATGTACAGACATCTTCAGGACCTTGTAGCCCTGAAGTATTAAGATATTAATGGGGACTTCTGGGATTATACGTATTTTAATCTCCAAGCAATATTTAGTGGAGAAAGTTCTATGTCACACTGAACATTTGCCATTAACCTTCAGTCATTCCTTGCAGCAGATCATTACAACTAGAAATCACTGTGAGTATGGGAGATTAAGACAACATGAAACTCTTAAACACAGCTTTTTGTCACAGATATGTGGTAGGAAAGAGATTATAATCAGTTTCACAAAACAAGTATCAATCTCCCAATGGGAGAGCATTAAGTAAACTGCTAAAGATGCGAAGTCCACAATTAACTCAAGAAATCATATCCATGAGATGTACAGGAAAAATGGAAAGCTATTTAAACAATAAACATTACTGGTGAAAATATGCTAAAAGAGATTGAAGATTAGGAGATTCAAAACTGCACTGCTGTTTGAGTCCTAAATAGAGGCAATGATTACAAAATATGCATTTACTCAAAATGAGGAAAATCAGAACTGTATCTCAACCACGTAGTTGTTTTTGGATAACAGCATGAAGAATTTTCCCTCAGGATTTTTGTAATCTCAAATATATTTGGCCTTTTTGTTTTTCCAGAGGAATCAAATTTTATTTTATTTGGGAGGCAAGGAATGAATAAAGTATTATAGACTATTCTTAAGGGCACTGTTATCCAAATCTGCAGCTGGAGTTGCTCAGTAGGAGACAAATAGACACTTGTTAGTATGATGGTTATGACAGTCATCTGAGAAAGGGAACACCTGGGCTTTAGTCTGTTCTCATGTTTCTGTACGGAAACAATTTTCAAGAATAGCAAGAGACAAAAGTAGCTTTACTCTACTGTGCAACCACTCCAGAACAAATTTTATTAAGTTTGTGGAAACAACTGCAAAATTAATTTGATTGTACAAGACATTAAAGTAATTAATGAAATTCAAGCTTTCTGTACAAGTACTGTACTCAGTATTTTTAATATATCGAGGGTTAAAAGGAATCTGATTGCTCTTTCTTGACTGCAAACTGTTTGTTCTTTCAAAGTGTTGTTCACTTAGAATGGCAAAGTGCCTAATTCATATGTTTTATGCATTCTCAGGTGTTACACCAATCACCTTTGTTACACCTTTGGAGACTTAGTTAAGATTGTCAAGGAATGTTAAGGTGGGATGGAAGGAAGGGAAAAAGGCTGCTTTTCTCTGTAGCAAGTCCGTAAGTTCCAAAATTTTAGTAAACAAATGTAGGACATTACAAACTGACAGGTCGCTTTCTATCTATCTATCCCCATTTCTTTCACCAATGCAATACAGTTTTGGTCTTTTACTGTAGGTCCAAGGTTTGTTATAGAATGGTGAGAAGTGGGGTTTTGTGGCCTATAGGAGCTTGTGAAGTAGATGTCTTACAATGCCCTTATGAATTAAACATCTACAGTATGGCTGACAAAAAATGCAGGGGATGAGAGCCAACAGTTCAAAAAGTTTCTTCCAAGATTTGTTCTGTTTCAGAGCATTACCCAAGAAGGTAAGCAAACTGCGCATCACTTCATGCTCTCCTCAAGAGCCTAACTGGGCTGTTCAAGAATTAAAAAAAGAAAGTCCTCCTCCTCATAAATCTTGTCATGATTGGGCTACGCCACACAAAGAAAAAATCCCACCAAAATTTAAAAGAGAACGATTTACAGATGCAGGAAGTAATACTAGAGCAATTAAAAACTGTCAAGGAGAATATTATGATAAGTATAGTGTCTGCTTGCTAGGTTACCTATGTATCTGAGAGAGAAGCAATGAGCACTAAACAAAGTACCACACTGTGAGGGCAGTACAAAAGCTGTAGAAGCTACCAGAGGAACCTGAGCATGAGAATGAGGGGAAGAAAACCTGTGAATGCACACCTCAGTAGTGCACTGACTGGACCTCAGTGCTGAGGCAGTACAGGTGTGCATGCAAGCAAATGAAGAAGTATTTATGCCTTCAATAACTGTCAGGACACATAAACAGTAACCAATGAGCTTCCTCAAAACATATTTTAAAGAGAAAGCAAATCTGAGACATAAACAAATTCCAGGTATTTCAAAGCTAAGTTTTTTCTCCTGTCCTCATCAATGAGAAATGTAAAAAGCAACCTTAAACTTTTTATGTGTAGCATTGTTGCTCATAGCTTCTATGTA